GTTTATATTAACTGCAATTAAAGTAACTATAAATAGGTAAATCGATTTTCAATTTTTATGAAATCGATTTACCTATTTATAGTTACTTATTTTGAAATTTTGTGTTTTTTTTTTTTTTTTTTTTTTTGTAATTATGATGTAATTCCATTACTTTTTATTTTAGATTTACGTTATGACACATTTATAAAATTTATAAAAAAAAACCTGATTTTCTTTTATTGTAAGTTTTTGTTAGTTAAAAAGATATAAATATATGCAATTAGTTCAATTTTTTTTTATGTTTTATGCCTTATAATTTGTTGTACGTATCTTAGGGGATCTTTGTAAACTGGGGTTTAACTAAAAGCCTTTAAAAACATGGAGAATACTGTAGTTTTACGCATTTGTCAAATATTGATTTACTTATATTTTATTTACACGTTCAACTAATTAGTTAGCTTAGTCTGCATTTGCAACACTTTTGAGGAAAGAATAGTTGTTTGTAAATAAAAATGTAAATCATTGTTTTACATTTTTATTTTTTTAGTTAAAGAAAAACTTGATTACTCTTAATAAAAAAAACCCTACTCACCAGGCCACCATTAAAGCAAGAAGAGGGGAGGAACCTCTTTACTTGTGTCAAAATATTTAGGAAATTAAATTTTGAGTAACAAAAGGAATTTTTAGTAAATGATAGCGAATGACCGTTTACTAAAAATTAATGAAATAAACAGGCCAAACAAATGATATAGAAATGGTCTATGTTGAACAGACTTAACAAGACCCGGGTCCGGTTATAGTAGGTATTACTAGTGACTTTCCCATGGACTGAATATATAGTTTATACGAGAGATCAGTAGTAAAATATTAAAAAGACGTAGAGGACTTAAGCTGAAAAGGAAGGAAGTAGTATATATACGGCCAGCCAAGTTCAAACCTTAGCTGACTTCGAACCTACATTTAATTTTGCTTAATGACATTTATTTGGATTTATAGACGTTTTAAAAAAATTATACTAATCTATGGGCTATGTAAAACAACATTGACATTAATTTTAGTTCAGCTAGTACCATATACGCAATCAAAATTTAAAATATTTATTGAATCGCAATCAAATTTTGTTATTTATGTGCCCCAAGAAGTCCTAACGGTCTTGTCACAGAGCACCGCGGAAATGGATTTAACCAGGAAGTTCACGTTCTTTTCCTTACCGCGACGCAAAGTATATTAAAGGCTCATTTCAAACCCAGATCCCCGGCTTATAAAGCAAGCGCTCTAACCACTAATATATAAATATAATACCTGGTTTATTTGCACAATGAATCAGTATTATTAACCAGGTTGCCAAAATTGGAAACTTAGTTCCATTAAAGTTAAGGGATTAAAAGCGCCTACTTTGTACCTTATTAAAATTTTAAGGCTTGCAACAAAGATTTTCAATATTAAAAAAAAAATTTATGGGATACGATAAAAAGTTGAATTGTGTTATTAGTAACATAATGTTACCAAATAGAAATAGTTAATGTACTAACTTTATCAAATTAAACAATGCATTGGCAAAAATAATGTCGCAATTTAATACGCAAATAATATAAACTTATTTCAAACAATTGAAGGCTAGACTGGGGCAATTCTATCCCCGGAGAAATTCCACCCTCTAAAAAGATATGGAGCAATACAAATAAACTAAAAAAACTTAAACCACTTTTAGTTCATGTTTTTGATTGCCAACTTTCTGTTTCTCACTAAGTATATGCTTCCTGTATCCATACTGATTTAGAAATTTGTTTATGAAACTTTTTTTGGAAATCCGAAATCATCTTCAATCTAAGTACCATATATGTACTTTAAAATACATTTTAAAATATATTTTTATTGATCATCATACTTTTATTAATCATCATTTATTTTTTGGATGTGTTTAATGTGTACAGAGATGATGAAATTTTTAATTTCACAATTTGAACCTTTGCTTGTAAATATCTTTAGGCAACATGTTAGTTTAGTTGTATTAATATCTGTATATGGTATTAGATATATAATTATTCATAGTTTCAACCAAATAAGACAATTTTAGTCATGGGTCAAATCTCACACCTTTTCATGAAAAACTAGGGAAGCGGCAAATGGAGACAAGAGAAAAGGCCATAAAAAGACAGTGTGGTGAAAGCCTCACTTCAGATAAATGCATTGCTAGGCTCACTGAAGAACCAAGCCGAAAATTGTCTTCATTTCAGGTAAAGGGAAGGGAAAAGACATGAAAAAAACAACAATGAGTGATGCTGCAGACAAACCAATTTTATGCACAATGTGTGGGGTAAATGTGGATGAACCTAAAGTTTGCGATCTGAATGTTATGTTTGACCTCCCAGCTAACACAAAACGTTTAAGTACGTTCGAATTTTTTATGAAAACGTGTAGAAATTACCCGTATTTTATTTTATAAAAAAATATTAAATTGTTTTTTTGTTAAAATTTTATATCAACAGTTTGCTTAAATATGTAAATAAAAGCAATTTTTTTACTATTTTCTTGTTTTTTATTTTATATAGTGGTTTTTAAGGATTTTTTTAGAAGTAGTGGATGGATCCAGTATATCCTACCAAGCAACTTTGTTTGATGTTATTTTATCTCTTTTGTTTTACACTATATGTAACATCTAAAATAACAAAACTAAAATTTTTTAATTTAATTTGATTCACTTACAAGTTAAATACCTATTTTTAATTGAATATGGTTTGGGACTTTTATTATTACTTAATGTTAGAGCAAAGTAAAGTAAATGCTAATTTTATACTTTAATATTTACATTACTTCCATGTGATTGTGCCCATCAAGACATCAGGGTTGCATACTTCAAAAAAAGCTTTTGAAAAATTGCATTTATTAACCCTTAAGCCTGAGATGAGGGTCAGTTTTATCTGTCCTTTATATGGTTGGCTGATCTGCTTTGAACAAAACATCTTTTGTATCACCAAAAAAAAAAAAAAATTAAAAACATAAATTAAAACATATTAAAATATAATTAAAACATACTTTTAATAAAATACAAAGCTATATAAAATTATATCTTTGTACAGACTTACATATAAATTAAAACTTACTTGAAAATATATATATATATATATATATATATATATATATATATATATATATATATATATATATATATATACATATATAGGGGTGATTGATCTTCCCTATATTTAAATATATGCATTCAAATTATAGCTTATTTAATAATGTATGTTGTTCTCCTTTCAAATTAAAATTTGTAAAAATAAAACTTTTAAATCACATCATTGGTTATTAGTTTGAGCTTAAAAGCCATAAAAAAAATTGTAAACTAAATGATTTACATATCTATCTGAACTCATAACTTCAAAACAAAGCAGAAGATTAACAGATAGTAAGTTTGTTTGTTTTAAAATCTGAACCTTGCTTAGCATAAATTATTGGATCATAGCTGCAACTTGTATTTGGAACAGCAATCTATATTAAACAAAAAAATGACCATTTTCAGGTGCTTGCTTGACTGAACTTTAAATGATCTTAAATTACTTTATCACAATTGCTATTGGCGTTGAACTAAATTTCCATTTCCAAATTCATACACTTGTTTATAGTAAATGAACAACAACAAAACTTAAATCTATACATACACTATTTTGCAAACTTTTATTTTAAGCTTCGTTAAAAGTAGATTTGTTAACTTGCTATAAAACTGTATACTTTTTATAAACTTCTTTCCTGCCAATTTAGATGGGGAACATTGTCAAAATTGATCAAACCATGTTACGTAAAAAGATACACAAAAATATTATTGAAAACATGATGCATATTTTTCTTTAACTTGAAAATCTTTAGTTTTCTTTTCTTGCACACAAAAACTTTAATACTTTTTGAAAAAAAATCTTCTTCTAAAATACACCAGAATTCAATATGGTATTTTCATTTGTATATACCCTGTGTATAATAGGTTGATTTTTAAATAGGCTAAAATATAAACCATCACCATAGCTTTAGAGATACCAATTACACTTGTATAAACCTGGATAATATAATGATATTATGATTTTTTTATTTATGATAATATAGGTATTTTTATTGTTATTTTTTTTATTATTATTACTGTTATTATTATATTATTGTAATTATATGATAGTAAATTTTGAGGAAAATAAATGTTGCTCCTATTGCTTTTATTTGTTGTTGTTGTTTGCATAAAGTTTCTTATCATAGTAGAAGCACTAATATAAAAAATAAAGATAAAACTCAAGAATGTGCTTGTTATAACTTTACTAGATATTTCATGCATGTTACACTCAAAATTTTGGTTTTAGAAATAATTCCTGAGCCATCATCACAAAATGACTAATAAACAAACCAACTACAGTAAACATGTTATGATTTAGTTTTCTTTATTATCAAAATATCTCTACAATCGCGGTTCACTTTGATATTATTATCACAAATAATATTCTAATATCATGATTTAAATATAAATTGTATAAAAACATTTGTATTATAGTATAAAATACGTGCGAATATCTGTAATTTGCCGTAAAAAAAGTAAGCAAAAAACTGTGACCTATTTTTTTCACTTTGCGAAAACAACACTTACGCCAAACAATATTGTGCCGCTATTTATGAACCAAATTAAATAAAAATTGGTAGTCGTTTAGTAAAATTAAAAGAAATTAAAAGGTCCTTTAGATAATTTATTTATCTGCTGATGTTCAAAATTTGAAGTAAATTTGTTGTGCGCATATTGTTTTCAAGAGTCATCAAGCATACCAGGTATTTCGGTGAAATTAAGCATACCAGGTATTTCGGTGAAATTAAGCATACCAGGTATTTCGGTGAAATTAAGCATACCAGGTATTTCGGGGAAATTAAGCATACCAGGTTTTTCGGTGAAACTAAGAATTTCTCGCATTTTAATCTTTAAAAGTTTTGCTGATCACGGGATCACATTCTTAAAATTTGATTGGTTTAAAAAACTTATTTACTTTGACGGTGTTACAAGAAACATGTTTGTTAACTTTTGAGAAAAAAGACTCTTATTAAGAATATTTTGGTATTTGTTTGGATTTAATTTATTGGTAATCATTTTAATATATTGCTTACTGTTTGTCTATAAAATACAAGTTAAAAAGTCAGCTGTATGTTTTTTGAAAACATACAGCTGACTAAAACAGAAAAAAATATTTTTGAAAGATTTGGTCTTCCTACAAGTAAATATCAAATTAGGCATTTGATAGGTTGCAGTATCAATAAATATAAAAAAACAATATCAAGAGATATGAAAAAGTTTAAAAAAATTTGCTCAGAAGTATTTTTTAATTCAGTTTCTTTAACTATTTTACCTGACATTGAAGCTGTTACAGTGCCTACTGCAGTCTACAATGCATCATTTACATCCAGTTCTTTGGATTGTTTAACCCCCATTGGACCAAATAGCATAGCTGAATCATGTGCTGATTCCTTGTCAAACTCTGGTACTTCATCTTTTGATTCACAACTGTTCCCTAAGTTGAGAAATGACCAACTGACTCCAAGAAAAAAAGTCCTTAAACAGAGGTTATCTATATTGGCAAATGAAGTTGCCACAAAAAGTCCAAAACATAAAAAGGATTTAAAAACTTTGAGAGAAAAAATTCGATCAAAACCATATAGGCTTAAACAACTTAATCAGACTATTGCTCGAAAAGAAATAACAACTCGTCAACTGCGTGAGAAGTTAAATAAAAATTGTTCCAACTTAAAGTTAAAGCAACTTCAAAATGCTAATCTTTATTTGAAAAGGCAACTAGTGTCAGCCCAGAACCAGTTATCTTCTGTAACAGCAATATTAAAAAAGCAACTTGTTGACAAAAATGTAGAGATTCAAGTCCTGCAGAATGATATGTTGATATTACAGGAGAAATTAGAATCTATACAGGAGACAGAACAAAATTCAAGACATTTCAAAAGTTACTCAACAAGTATTAGGGCTCTTATATATGACATGCTTATGTGTCATGTTCCTTCTCACAGTGTGCCACTGCTACTCCATAAAATTGGAGAACACACAGGATATTATTTCAGTGATATCCCACACTGCACAACCGTGGAGCAGATGATGCGTGAGCTAGGTGTTATTTCAGACCTACAGACTGCTGAGATAGCATTGTCAACAAAAGATCTTACTCTGGGTTTTGATGCCACAACTCAGGAGGGTATTCATGAAAATGCAGTACACTTTACAACTCAGACAAAATGCGTGGTTGTAGCAATTGACCAACTTGCTGGAAGTACAGCTAATGACTATCAGAGTCACATTACACAGTCAATAGATCATCTAGCAAAGTTATATTGTGACTTTTACCAGCAAAAGTACTTGGAATTACGAAGTACTATCATTAGCAATATAAGTAACACCATGAGCGACCAAGTTGCCACAAACCATGCAACAGTAACTAAGTTAAACAATTTGTGGCAAAAGTCATTAAATGAACTTAACTGTCATCTTCATCCATTAGACACAATAACCAGTGCTTGTAAGTCATCGCTTAAAGCATTGGAAACTTCACAAGGGAATCTTTTTGGTAAAAACTGTGTTGCTGCTAACATTGTTGTTCAGCTTAACAAACTCCGTTACAAGGATGGTAAAGGTATATATATATATATATATATATATATATATGCACACACATATAAGCAGTTTTTGTTATATTTACTTTATTGCAGTGTAATTTTGTTAATGTTTTAAGTTTATCAAATTATTGCTTTAAGTTTATAAGTTTTTGAATAGAAGATTTAAAAAGTGAATTGCTTTAAACTCGCAAAAGACTTCTATACAAGGTATAGATATATATACATTGTATTTTCTTAATTAAAGGTGACCCGAAGGGTTTTGTTCAAAGGATCCAAAATCGAGAAAAAACGGAGTCGAGAGAAATCGAGAAAAAACTCCGTCGAAGTCGAGAAAAAATCGGAGTTTCGATAATATTTTGTTATAAAAATTAAACTATCTATTTGATAATTAAACATTGTTCTTGTATTTTTATTTTTTAATTTTAAATATTTCGATTTATAATTCATAATAAAATTTTAAAAAATTTATATTTTTATATTTCTTAGTACATAAATATTTTTTTTATCACAATTTTTTAACGAACAAGTTATATCTAATAATTGGCTTTCTAACCGGCATCGGTTATGAAGAAGGCGTGAACTTTCAGTTAAATGCCCTTCTGCGTTGCTATGCAATAAAGACTTGTTGGGGCACCTATAGTAAAAATTAAAAAAAAAATTTGAAAAAAAAAGTATTTATACTGAAGATCTTTTTAAATAATATTTTAAAAAGATCAAAACATCTATCATTTCATCAGAAAGCGAACTACGAAACTTTGTGACAAATCTGGAAGACGAGGAGAAAACTCTTTCTGCTTCCGAGGAAGTTGCTTGAATTCTGTGGATGGCTAGTTCAAATTTTAAAACTGTTTCTGATTTCACACCAGTTACTTCATATTCTTTCAACTGATCGGTGAAGGTCTTGACTTTTTTTGGTTTTTTAGCTGCTGATTGATTTTGAATTAGAACTTCTTGAATTTCGGAGAAAAAAGATGTCGATTGTGATGGTTCTTCTTGTTTGTTTTTAGCGTGATCATCTGATTTTGATTGGAGACTATTTTCTTTTGTTGCAAATAGTTGATCAAATAATTTTGAAGCATAAATTTGAATATCTTTTTTGGAAGCGTAAAAAAATGTGTGGTTTTTATTTTTAAAAAAATCGGGATTGTGCAAATAACGACTCAATGATACCAACATAACGTTTTTACGATCTTCATATCTGGAGATTAAGGTCTCTGCAAAATTAGAACTGATGTCAGTTTCTGCAACCTTCAATTTCCTTATTAACGTTTCCATAATAATGTCACACTCCAAAATTGTTGTATTTGGTTTTTCCAAGCGAACTGCAGCGTCAGCAACGACTTCCAATAAGTCAGACAGCGATTTTAAGAAATCCAAGTCAATTTCAGCTAACATATTTAAGCAGTTTAGCTCTTCGAGTGTTTTTTTTACAGCTTCTAAGCAATCCAGAAATCTTTTAATCGTCTTAAAAACACTGTTCCATCTTGTTCGGTTGTCGAACAACAGTCCTTTGTCATGCGAAGATCCGTATATTTCGTGTATTTTTGTTTTAAGAACTTCATATCGAAACGATGAATATTTCAAAAACTTAATTAGTATTCAAAGTTTCTGTAGATTTTTTTCGATATTTTCTTCATACTCAATCTCATTCTCCGAATATTCAATAAGAAACTCTCCTTCAGACTCTCCATCAGTTTCTGTTTCTGTTTCAATAATTGATTCAGTTACTTTGTTCACAATTTTGCGACAATCTTTTTTAGCGTATATCAAATCACAAACACTCAAATGAATTGAATGATTCTGGCAGATCTGATGTGGAAACTTAAATATGGTACCCAATTTCACCATCCAACTACAGCCATCCGTAGTTTTACCTGCAATATCTTCACCATCTATACCAAATTCTTTTAATTTTTCCATTATCAAAATGTTTAATGTTTCAGCAGAACTAGGAGATGGCAATCTCATCATTCCTCAACAATACGTTCTGTCGTGATGAACATTTAAATTGTAGTATCTTCTACCTCTATTGCTACACCATTCGTCACCTGTTAGTCCAAATTTTTCTCCTTTTGCTTTCAATGCAGCTAATTCAGCGATCATTAAGTATTTGGCTTCAGCATGAAACATCTTAATTTTTTCTGAAATTGCGGACGCTGACTTAGGCAAACTATGCCCATAATTTTCAAAAAGCATTCTTAGTGTTTCAGATTGAGTTATGGACCTAATCGAATACCCATCAAGAGCTGTCAACTTGGCAAGAAGATTGTTTAATGACATTTTAGTCAAAACTGGTCTGGAACTGAATGGTTTCAAATCTATTTTCTTGCAACTTTTGACGTGTCCAATAAGGCCGTTTGTGCTGCTTTCTGGACAAGCGATTCTTTTTTGACATTTTTTGCAATCTCCATACTTCTTATCATTTACCACAACTTTATTAAAGTACTTCCACGCTTCCGAAACCATTTTTTTCTATGAAAGAAAAATTATCAATTTGATAATGACCTCCCATATTTGTTTTTAATTTTATTTTAATTGTGAAAAGTTATCACATTTTAAGTTATTAAGTTATTTATTCTGATAGGTAAGTATAATTAAACATTAATTATTATTATTATTTATTTTCACTGATAATATTTTATTGCACAATTTTGCCACAATGCTCAGTGGGCCGGATTTTAGACTTATGGTGGACAAAATTATTTTGATCATACAAAATACGACACTACTTGTATAAAATGAAAGTTTTATATGTTTTATATGTTAAAAACTTACCTCGTTGTTTTACGACCAGTCTTTGTTTATATTATAAATAATGATCTTGACTAAACTTTTTTTTTGTAAAGGTAAACTATTGAGTAGTTAAAATGTATAAACTAATATCACATTCGCATAATATTTTAAAAGTTACTGTTTATTATATCTTTGCTTAAAAATTAAAATATTCTTGCTTTTTATTATGCATTACATTTTATTATACCGCAATTGATTTTTGTGGATTTAAAAAAATACTAATACTAAAAAGATACTAATATACACAAAAGAGTTTTTGAAATAGTACAATGGAAAAGTATGAGCATGTTTTAATATATGGTTTTGAATAGAATAAACTTTTTTTGAGGTTTTTTTCACCATCATCACCTGGCCCACTGTGCATTACCAATTGCTTAGCGATGTATATTAGTGTTGATATTAAACGAAGAGAACACTTACATTTGAAACAATTTTTAAAATTACAATTTACAATTGTAAAAACCACGTAGAAATAAAATAAGAATTCAATTATTTTACGAATAAAAAATTGGTATTTTCTAAAAACTTCGTCGAAGTTTCGTCGAAGTTTCTCGATTTGTCTCGAACTCCGAAACTCCGAAAAACAGAGAAAAATCCGTCGAGACGGAGTTCCGAATGGATCCACTGGTTTTGTTATACTTTTGGATAACAACAAGCTCCCTAGAGGACTACTACCTCGCTACAGGGGAAATCGACTACACATCCTTTTTCACACCTGTGGAGTCTTAATTCATTACTATGCTCTGTTGAGAACTTTCCTGCATTCTGGTGTGGTTTCATGTGGAGGACTGAGAAATAGCTTGCTCCTAGACTTCACATCAGGCACTGGTAAATATTTTATATATACTTTATATATTAAAAATCAGATAATGGCTTTTAATCTTCTATATGGGTTTTTTTTAATTGCATTTGTATATTCATTTCAGGTATACGCGAGCTGTGTGCAATAGGTTTAATGGGAAAATTATTGACCGGTCCTTGGATGACCAATTTCTATGTTGCACAAAGTGAAGTTGACTTTTTGTCTGGTGTTGAAGTGGTTAAAGGTGTTCGCAACATTCTTATTGAGAGTCAGAAGAATGCTCTTTCTTTATTAACCCGAACAACAGACTTTTTTGGTGGTTGTATTAATGATCCGGTGTTTAATTCTATTGTTAACTTTTCTCCAAGAACTGATAAAATGAGAGACGCAATAGTCTGCTGTTTGAGTGCTGTTGTTAATGTCATTGACCGGCAATACAAGCGACTGTTTAACTTGAATACAACTGATAAACTTAAAGCCCAGACGTTATCAGCACGACTTCACAATATTTACTCAAAAGAACTTATGGGTATGTTTAGTGCTGCAAAGCAAAAAGCACCAAATGCTACACTCTGTTTCTTATCAGCAAAACTGCGTGCATGCAAAAATAAAACCACTGAGTTCCTCTATGAAAAACCTATTGAGGTTGGAAACAAATTGATATTATGGGCCATATCCACTGCTAGAAAAAAGCGATTTGCAAACATACAAAAACATGAGGAATTGAAGGTAGAACTGATTAAACAAATGGCTGCCAAGCTTCAAAAAAAGGAGGAAAAAGAAAGAAAAAATGTAGAAAGGTTTTACTACTAATACTAATTAAAAATAAAATATTAACTATACAAAAAAAATAGATAGAAGATAGAAAAAAGATGGAAGTTATAAATTAATGCATTTTTTTTTTGTTTTTTTATGTCGTTTTTTATATTTATCGTTATTAATAGTTCACATAAACAATCTCAGAAAATAAGTTTCTTATTCATTATGCATATGTATACATTATCTTTTTTTTTAGTATTCGCACCATTTAAAGGCACCAAGAAATTTAGTAGCCATGGCGCAGTGGTTTAGCAGTTGTGGCGTAGTGGTTTGAGCATTTGACTCTTTATCCAAGGTTTGCGGGTTCGATCTCAGCTCAAAGCATATAAACGTTATCGGTGAAGTTGGAAATAGAAAGTTATCTTAATAAATGCTATTCTTCATGTGGCGGTTCTCTGTGACAAGACCATTAGGACTTCTTAGAGCACCTTAATAACTAAAAACAAATGTTTTAAGATTTAATTTGTACCTTACCACTTTTTATTCGGCTAATTTTTATTTTTAAACTATTTGATTTATAGGTGGGCGGGGGGGGGTGACGCCCCACATCCTATAATTTATTTATGTCACTAATATATGTGTAATTTATTAAAATATTACTTTCAATTTCATTCCAACATCACTAATTTTAATAATGATAAAAATATTTATCAGAATGTAGCAATTTTGATACTAGGATGTGAACCATCACGTACCCTACTTTATAAAATACACCACTAATAGATGCTTGGCAACTGGAATAAAAAAATAACAACTTTGTTTATAAAAAAATTACTAATTTTATATAATAAAAACTATCTTTAATGGAAAAAAATGTGCATTTGTTGATGGCAGAGGCAGCTCTTTTGTCCCCCCTCTAGCCAACCTTAACATGCACGGGTGTTTAAAGCTAATAAAACTTGTAGCCCAATGTTACACCTATCTTTTGATACCAAGATTTATGCATTTAGAAAAGAATTGACAACGTTAAGGCGGTTTAACATACAAAACCACTATAAATTGGTCACAGTTTTGTTAAGGAATCCTTGTAATCACATTTCGTTACTATAATGCTCATAACTTTTCGTATAATTATCCAATTTTGATAAAATTTTCAGTTTTGGAACATTTTTTTTTAAATCTTTCCAATGATATATAAAAATCTAATACTTAAACAACTTAAAATTTTTACACACATACACGTAATCGTGTTTCACAAATTTTGTATTGAGTTACTATTTGATAAAAACATTTTACCACGCATGACTAATAATTAAATATTCACATAAAACCATTACATAAAACAAATAATTTAACAATGCTTTTTGCATCTTAAATACTTAATTATTCGCCAAAAAATAAACATTACGTCACCTAACTTTACGCTATGGAATCATGTTTCTACCCATGTTTCTACCATTTTATTTATTCTATATCTACTTTTTTGTGTAAAATACGCACGAAAGAATCAAGTTTCTTATTATTCCAGAATTTAAAAAATTTCGAATATCGTCTATTGTTTTGCGAATGGCCCCCCTAGCTGTCCCGTAATTTGCTATAACCGAAAAAAAAATCAGAAAAACAGAAGTTAGGTACCAAAAGTGTTACACTTAGTAAACTGCTTGCTCCCTTTTTTTTTTCGTTTAAATTTAGCATTTACATAGAAAATGCATGTAGAAAATTGTTTAAATAATAAATAGAGTGGGATCAACATTCCTTCTACTACAAATTCAAGTGAGAACATCGTCTAAATTTTCATGCAGAAATTGAAGCAAAATAACCCATAAAGAAGTTTAGTAACCATACATAAAAGTTATATAGAATTCACGCTTAACCTTTTTTCTTTCAAAAACAAATCTTTATTTGCATATTTTTCTAAAAAGAAATACCACAAAAGTTTTACTAAGACTACCGAAAAAATGCAGTAAGCGTCGTACAACCCTTTGAAACCTATCTGCTCCCTTTTTTTTTTGTTTAAATTTGATATGTGCATAGAAATTGCATGCAGAATTTTGTTTGAATAATAAATAGACTGGGATCAATATTCCTTCGACTACATATTTATGTGAGAACATGAAACTATTTTTCAGAACCAAAATAATTCATAAAAAAGTTCAGTAACTATACATAATAATTATATAAAAATCAAGATTAATCTTTCTTCTTTTAAAAAAGTATCTATCTGTATATATATTTCTAAAAAAAAACTTAACAAAAATACGTTTGGCTAATGCTACCTAAAAAAAAGTTAAAAAAACGAGCCACAAAATTTTAGCACAATCGGTTCCGTAAATCGTGATTTCCGCGTACCTAATATTAAAAGAGATTTGCTTTTTACTAATACAATCTATTTGACTTTAGAAAAATATATTGCTGCTTTAATACAGTTTTATTGATGTTATTCCATTTATGAAAAAAATTGGGTGCTAGGTTTGAATACAACAAACAACATTTGGTCCCAACACTCCATTCATCACGAGTTTAATAAATAAGTTGCAGTATTAATTTTTACAAAACCAAAATTAAAAAAATCGTAGCCATTTTAAAATCTCTGAAATTTCTTATGAACTTTTTAAACATGTAGCTAAGGTCCTTTTAAACTTTTTGAACATGTAGCTAAAATCTGCAGCCATTTTAAAATCTCTAAAATTTCTTATGAACTTTTTGAACATGCGCTCATAAACATAACTCTTGTAATTGACTGTAGGTTTTAATGATTTTGGGGCCCTAATGACAGTTGGGGAGGGGGGGGGGGTTAGGCGGAAGGGGCATAGTCTTTAGCCATACAAAAACTCCTTGATCCGTCAATCGGCAGTTTATTCATTTTTATTAAATTCATTTATTATTTAATTATTTATTTTTTTATTTCGTCATTAAATTAATAATCTTTTACAATGTTTTTTTACAACATAAAAATTATAACATTAAAGTTTCGACGGGAGCTGGCAGAAGACATGATCTTATCATCCAGCCCCGTTAATATAACTAAAAAATTCAGCCGATAAAAATGAAAAAGGAAAAAAGAAACTAAAGCAAGAACTGATTTTAAGAAGAAAAGAACTTAAAAATCAAATTATTATTTACAGAAAGAGAAAAAAAATAAAAATAATAAAAAAAATAAAAATATTAATTATTTCTTCTCATTATTATTATTATTTTTTTAATTCTCTATTTTATTCTACTTTTATTTTTATTATACACGCACGCACACACACGTACGCACACGTACACACAAATATATGTCCGCTCATATATACATTCAAATCAAATAAATCTGTATTACATTCCATCTACAAATTGCGTAAGATATAATAAATATTGCATTTACAAATTACGCATTGTAAAATAAAATAATATCATACATGTTCTAAGTACCATACAATATAATTATGATGTTGAGTCAATTTATAAGACATTAAATAACTAAGATTACCAAAAGTTTTTAATAATACGATAGTAATTGCTTTGTGTCAAAACCAAATAAGTGTTGTTTTGTTGCACGTTTAAAATGTTGAGTTGAATTTAAAGTTTTTATATTACTTGTTAAAAGCAAGTTCCATAACCGCGTCCCTCAGCAAGATATCGAAAAATCAGCTTGTTTTAATAATGTTTTTGGTATAATAAAATTATTTGTTGAGTATTTAGTTTCGTATTTGTGGTTTAAAGAAAAAAAATAAGTTTGGAAAATGCTTGGTAGCATACCATTTTTAAACTTAAACATAAAAATAAGTATATTTAGAATATTTATATTCATATTCATATTCAATAATTTAGAATATTTATTAATAATTTAGAATATTTATATTCATATTTATATTCATATTCATATTCAAATATTCATAAGAATATTTATTTCATAGACATTAGGCACTCCAATTTCTCTTAGTAGTGGTTTGGCACTAGCGTATTTATTTGCATTTAATATTAAGCGAATTGCTCGTTTTTGTATTTTGTAGATCATATTTAACTTTGAAGGATAAGTACTTGCCCATTTATAAAGAAGTGCACAACTTTGGAGCACTTCAAACCTAATCGCTCTTATGCATGATTGCACCTTACATTTATATTATTCTGCTACTACGTCTCCCATACAAAAGATTTACTTTTATGCTGATTAGATTTATGCAGATTTGCAGATATGAATATTGCATTTATTCAATTTCTATAAAATTCTTGATGTATACGACTCTTTCTGGTTTGTATTTTAGTCTTATGGATCAAATGGATTAGACTATTTGATTACATAAAATTATGGACAAAAGATCTATCAGAGGGTGGGGAGGATTTTCAGAAAGGGAAATTCAGTGGCTTTAATTTTTCTGAATTCTTTAATTTTTTTTAGGTATACCTGCAGGTATTTATTGATATATATATGTGTATATATATATATGTGTGTGTGTATATATATATATATATATATATATATATATATATATATATATATATATATATATATATATATATATATATATATATATATATATATATATATATATATATATATATATATATATATATATATATATATATATGTGTGTGTGTGTATATAAATATATTTTTTGAAAAAGCTGTTTCTCCTTATCAGGATGCATTAATAAAATCGGGTTTCTCATCCAAGCTCAAATATCAGTCAGATATAGTTCCCACTAAAAACAAGAATCACAAACGAAACATTATTTGGTATAATCCCCGTATAGTAAAAATGTTGCAACAAAAATTGGTAATCTTTTTTTAAAAATAATTGATGCAAGCTTTCCTGTTGGTCATTTATTACACAAGATTTTTAACAGAAACACCATTAAAATTAGCTACTCGTGTATGCCGAACATTAAACCAGTCATTAACAAACGACAAACGACAAGTTGAAAATATACTCAGAAGAGCATCTAAATCAGTTCATGGATTAAAAAGTCTAACATATCACCAAAGACTATTGAAACTTAATATGACAACCATAAGATACAGACTAATCCGGGCTGATTTAATAAACGTCTATAAATGGCTAAACAACTACTACAACTGTCAAACGATCTTTCCAAAAACAATTATAAATTCTATTACAAGAGGACATTCATTTAAACTAGAAAAACCTTATTCTCGTCTAGCTTCGCGTCAATACTTTTTCACCTTACGAGTAATCAACAAATGGAACTCCCTCCCAGATGACGTTGTAAATGCTACTTCCGTAAGCAATTTTAAAAACAAACTCGACAATTATCTAAAAGAAGAAAAAACAATTTATGACTAGTATATTTATATAGTAATCATAAGACAGGTCGACAGGCATTTCATGCCTATACAAATCCAATTTGTAAACCTTAATAATAATAATAATAATAATAATAATTAATTCGCATAATCAAAATATTTTATACAATCATGAAAAAACAACAACAAAAACTTGCAACTGCATCAATAAATCTACCTGCGTTATGAACAACCAGTGTCTAA